TACGAGTAATTTGTAACAATTAGAGAGTGCTGGGACGAGTGATACGAGAAATGCGAGAAAAAAACGGTGGGATGCGCGAAGCGTCTCCGGGGGGTCCCGGGGCCGTTGGGTAGGCGCTACACATGACAACATGCAGCCGCTTTGGCCGTTTCTTGCTTGGCGCCCGGGGTAGGTAAGTCCACGGTTTACGGTCTAATTTTCGCAGTGGTTGAGACGACTCCTCCCCAGTCTTCCCCTCGAGCATTTTCCCGTGTGCCGCTCCCTGTATTTCTGCACCCCAATCAGTTCGAGCGCAGCCACGTGCCGGGCAACATACCCACAGGCCTCGGAACAAATTCGCGAACACTCATGCCAAATTCATCAGTCAGCGCCTCCCCCCCCCCCAATGTTCAAAGTTGGAGTTGGCGGTGGGTATGATGAGGTGCACTTCGACCGCAGTCCCCCTCGCGCGTGCCAGCATTGAGTTTGGGGGGGAGGGGGAGTGTTCAATAATTGTTTCCCTCTACCGTCTCATTTTTTGGTTGGCCTCGGCAATTGCGAGTTGGCCGGGCGATTCTGCGGGTGGGGATTTCTGCGAGACCATTATGATATATACATGTATATGTATATGTATATGTATATAAGTATGTATGTGTGCACATGTATGTATAGATCCCTCTTTTTAGTGTTTTGGCGCCCGCGTCGTCCCGCGCCTTATTCGTCACGTATTACTCGTACCACTCGCCCCATCACTCCTTATTTTTCACATATTACTCGTATCACTCGTAGAAAGAAAATGAGACTTTTTGGCTTTTTCTTTCTCTTACGAGTGATACGAGTAATATAAAAAACAGAGAGTGCTGGGACGAGTGGTACGAGTAATACGAGAAAAATACGGTGGGATGCGCGAAGCGTCTCTGGGGGGTCCCGGGGCCTTTGGGTAGGCGCTACACATGACAACATGCGGCCGTTTTGTCCGTTTCTTGCTTGGCGCCCGGGGTAGGTAAGTCCACGGTTTACGGTTTAATTTTCGCAGTGGTTGAGACGACTCCTCCCCAGTCTTCCCCTCGAGCACTTTCCCGTGTGCCACTCCCTGTATTTCTGCACCCCAATCAGTTCGAGCGCAGCCACGTGCCGGGCAACATACCCACAGGCCTCGGAACAAATTAGTGAACACTCATGCCAAATTCATCAGTCAGCGCCTCCCCCACCCCAATGTTCAAAGTAAGCGGTGGGTATGATGATATGCACTTCGACCGCAGTCCCCCTCGCGCGTGCCAACATTGAGTTTGGGGGGGAGGGGGAGTGTTCAGTAATTGTTTCCCTCTACCGTCTCATTTTTTAGTTGGCCTCGTCAATTGCGAGTTGGCCGGGCGATTCTGCGGGTGGGGATTTCTGCGGGACCATTATGATATATACATGTATATGTATATGTATATAAGTATGTATGTGTGCACATGTATGTATAGATCCCCCTTTTTAGTGTTTTGGCGCCCGCGTCGTCCCGCGCCTTATTCGTCACGTATTACTCGTAGCACTCGTCCCATCACTCCTTCTTTTTCACATAGTACTCGTATCACTCGTAGAAAGAATATGAGATTTGGGGCCTTTTTCTTTTTCTTACGAGTGACACGAGTAATATGTAAAAAAAGGGAGTGCTGGGACGAGTGGTACGAGTAATACGAGAAAAAAACGGTGGGATGCGCGAAGCGTCTCTGGGGGGTCCCGGGGCCGTTGGGTAGGCGCTACACATGACAACATGCAGCCGCTTTGGCCGTTTCTTGGTTGGCGCCCGGGGTAGGTAAGTCAACGGTTTACGGTTTAATTTTCGCAGTGATTGAGACGACTCCTCCCCAGTCTTCCCCTCGAGCATTTTCCCGTGTGCCGCTCTCTGTATTTCTGCACCCCAATCAGTTCGAGCGCAGCCACGTGCCGGGCAACATACCCACAGGCCTCGGAACAAATTAGTGAACACTCATGCCAAATTCATCAGTCAGCGCCTCCCCCACCCCAATGTTCAAAGTTGGCGGTGGGCATGATGAGGTGCACTTCGACCGCAGTCCCCCTCGCGCGTGCCAACATTGAGTTTGGGGGGGAGGGGGAGTGTTCAGTAATTGTTTCCCTCTACCGTCTCATTTTTTAGTTGGCCTCGTCAATTGCGAGTTGGCCGGGCGATTCTGCGGGTGGGGATTTCTGCGAGACCATTATGATATATACATGTATATGTATATGTATATAAGTATGTATGTGTGCACATGTATGTATAGATCCCCCTTTTTAGTGTTTTGGCGCCCGCGTCGTCCCGCGCCCTATTCGTCACGTATTACTCGTATCACTCGTCCCATCACTCCTTATTTTTCACATACTACTCGTATCACTCGTAGAAAGAAAATAAGATGTTTGGGCATTTTCTATCTTACGAGTGGTACGAGTAATATGTAAAAAACAGGGAGTGCTGGGACGAGCGACACGAGCAATACGAGAAAAATACGGTGGGATGCGCGAAGCGTCTCCGGGGGTCCCGGGGCCGTTGGGTAGGCGCTACACATGACAACATGCAGCCGCTTTGGCCGTTTCTTGGTTGGCGCCCGGGGTAGGTAAGTCCACGGTTTACGGTTTAATTTTCGCAGTGATTGAGACGACTCCTCCCCAGTCTTCCCCTCGAGCATTTTCCCGTGTGCCGCTCCCTGTATTTCTGCACCCCAATCAGTTCGAGCGCAGCCACGTGCCGGGCAACATACCCACAGGCCTCGGAACAAATTAGCGAACACTCATGCCAAATTCATCAGTCAGCGCCTCCCCCCCCCCCCCCAATGTCCAAAGTTGGCGGTGGGCATGATGAGGTGCACTTCGACCGCAGTCCCCCTCGCGCGTGCCAACATTGAGTTTGGGGGGGAGGGGGAGTGTTCAGTAATTGTTTCTCTCTACCGTATTGTAGGTCCAAGGTGATACATGGGTAGACTGGTCAGCACAGCGTGGAGCTCAGACCAACGAACTCGATCCCACCGACTTGGATTGGACGACGTTGGCCCGTAAGAAGCTCCAGTCTGTTGTTTGGACTGTCGCCCGTACGTTGGCGCTCTGGTCAAAGGCCAGGGAATTGTTTGGGGACCTCGACCGTCTCCACAAGGCTCCCAGGCCCCCTTTCCCTGGTTGCTCATCACCATCACCTCACTTTCGACGGAGTCTGATGGTGATGCGAACGCTGTGCCACACGTGGTTTCGGCCCGAGCGGGCCAAGGGGCCTTGTGCGGGTCTCACCCCGTCTACACAAGCCCTTTCAAAATCCGAGTCGGCTGGCTCTCACCTTTGGTTCGGTGCCCGCACCCATAAGTTCTGCAACCCCGTCTTGTTGTGAAATCGCTGCGGCAATTACATGCAAGGCACACTGGATCCGCCTACCTTGCGACAGCCTGGTGCCCAGGTCAAGCCGACGCAACTTGCCATTTTCAGGAAGAGCAGGCTGCCCTGGCCCCGTGGCGTCACCTTTGGTGGCGGGCTCAGCCGCCTTCTTTCTCTTTTTGATTCGGCCCTCGTTCATCGAACGGGCTTGCCGATCATCTGGATGCTGTGGGGAACAACAAGGAGGAATGGAGGAGGAGGAGGAGGAGGAGGAGGAGGAGGAGGAGGAGGAGGAGGAGGAGGGGGGCAAGGAGGAGGAGGAAGAGGAGGAGGAGGAGGACGAGCAGGGGCAGGGAGGATAGACGGGTGGGAGGGGACCAGACAAGAAGGTACCTACCGATACTCTGCGGACCTCTTCTCGGGTGCGTTCTGACTCGAATTTTGAAAATATCAGCCAGTGTTGACTCCAAATAGTTAGGAGGACAGGAGGATGATGGGAGGAGCACGAAAGGAGGACGGGAGCAGGACGGGAGGCGGACGGGAGGAGCAAAATCAAGCAAGCGCAAGCAAGCAAGCGGAAGCAAGCAAGCGCAAGCGAGCAATAACAAGCAATACCAAGCAAGCGGGAGTTAGTGTGCAAGAGCAAGCACGCAAGAGCAAGCAAGCAAGCAAGCAAGCAAGCAAGCAAGTGCAAGCAAGCAAGCAAGAGCAAGCAAACATAGGAATACATACGACTCATAGGAGTCCATAGGAATCCATTGGACTTGCCATTGGAAATAGCTGGGGGGTGCCATTGGAAATAAGGGGGGGGTGCCATTGGAAACAGGGGGGGGAGTGGGGTGCCATGGGAAATAGGGGGGGGGGGGCCATTGGAAAAGGGGGGGGGTCCTAAAGACCAGTTACTTATGATGAACTAGGACTCCTTTAGGGTAAGCCTATTTGGATAATAATTCAGCCGTGGCGACGAGAGCTCCCCAGGATGAGCAGCGATATCGATACCTTCCTTGACTCTGGATCCGCCGTACTTTGAGCGATGTCGTAGGTAGGGCGGGCTTGCTCGCCATACTTTCCAAGCTCCTTTGATACAAATGTTCGCCTTACTTTGCCGTCGCTGTTTCTGCCATGCTTTTGCAAGCATACCCGCCATACTTTTCTGAGGCGGAAGCTTCTGCCCTCCTTTCTCGCATCGTCAGGGCTGCGCTTCCACCAGCAAGTGCGGCAGATCAGGAGTCAGGGTTTTCCAGAAAAGGACAGCACAACCCACCCCCCATCCCCAGCCAGGAATCCAGGCCCCGACCTGGTGATCCAGGGGGTTTTGGATGAGGGTGGGCGTGGCTGTTTACGTGTTCTTGGGGGCGGAAACACCAGCATCACCCCCAACCAGAACCCTAGGCCCTGGATCGCCAGGTCGGGAGCGGAGGTCCTGGCTGGAAATGGGGGTGAGTTGTGCTCTCCTCCTCTTTGGCGGCGCGCACAAGGCGGTAAAGGGGAGGGGGAGCGGCTTCTTGGAACGAGGCTGCTTCTTAGAGGGCGCCGGGCCTTTTCGTCTCTCGATGAGGCCCGCGCCTTCTGAGAGGAAGGGGTGCTCCTGAGAAGGCATCCTCCCTCCCCCCCCGCCCCCCCCCCTGCGCGTGGCCGACCTTTCCTCCTCCGAAGATTGACGGGGGTGCCCGCGGGGCCCGCGGCGCCGGCGTCTGGCACGGCGCGGGCGTCGGGCGCGGCAGCGCGGGCGACTGCCTGTGGACGCCCCGGCGGCATCCTCGAACGAGGAGGAGGAGGATGACGAGGAGAACGAGGAGGAGGAGGAGGAGGAGGAGGAGGAGGAGGAGGAGGAGGCGGAAGAGTAGGAAAATGAGGAGGAGGACGAGGAGGAAGAGGAGGAGGAGGAGGAGGAGGAAGAGGAAGAGAAGGAGGAGGAGGAGGAGGAGGAGGAGGAGGAGGAGGAGGAAGAGGACCAGCACCATGAGTCTGGCCTACGAAATTGGAAGCGCTCTGGCAGACAGGCAAGGAAAAACGGAGGGCCAGAAAGAGGTGTGTGGCGGGCGCCAGGCTGAGGAGGGAGCGGCTCACCTCCTATGGCGGGCTCGCACCGCCTGCGCCCACGGTCTCACGGGCTCACCTGAAGGCCACGTCGCTTGTCTTCGGAGCCTCACCACTTCGATCCTGAGCACGATCGCGGACTGGCTCTTGGGCATACCACCTGGACAGGGTGCCACCAGCTTCTTTCGACGACCTCCTTTTTGCGGCGTGACTTGTCCCAACCTTCCACACGCTTGACACCACAGTTGGCCATTGATCAGCATGGAATAGCGGTTCGGTTCGATGTTCTGTCCGCGGAGCAGCTGCCCTCACATGTATCCTGGACGCCAGCATTTCCCATTCGTTGAGCTTGTTGACCGGCAGCTGGATGAACCCAGTGGCCTTTGCCACCTCCTTCGCGAGCTCGTCTGCCACCCCATTTCCATAGGAAACTTTGACGTATTGAAAAACACCTCCTTGAATAGTTTCGTCAAGGTGGAGATCGCACTTCCGATTGCCCACTTGGCTTCTGCTTCCAAGTCGAACCTCCAGACCCTGTCCACTGCGTTCCATCGCATTGCGTTGAAACCACGAGGGTGTAAGTCACGTTGAGGAACAGAGCCGTCCAGCAAAATCTGAGCACCCACCCATGCGATGATATGCCCCTCCGTTAACGCAAGGCAGAACGCAGGGGCCGCGATCTCCGAACTGGGTACCGTCTGCCTTCCAGGCATCGTGCCGACCAGATTGATGGAGTCCGCGGGCATGGCTCGCGCGGACGCGCGCGAATGGTGACTGGCCCCTCGGGCGGAGCCCAACGGGGCCGCGAGACGCATGAGGGGCGCGCCGAAATGTCGCGCGGGCGCGCGCGGGCCCTGCCGCTGGGGCCTTCGGCGGGGCCCGCAATGGGTCCGCGAAGCGCGCGGGCGGGCCCCCGCTGGGCGGCGCGGGCGCGCGCGAACGGCGCCGCCGAAATCTTGGCGGGGCCCCCCATGGGGCCGCGAAGCGCGCGAGGGGCGCGCGGGAATCCGTCGCGCGGGCGCGCGCGAGCCCCGTCGGCCCCGGAGGCTTCCAGAAACTATTAGCCGAGCCCGTTGAAGCCAGGCCCCCCCCCGCAGACCCCGCGAACGCCCCGCCCGACAAATGTTTTCGCGAAGTTCGAGGGGGTGAGCTTTCCAAGCTCACCGAGGGCCCCCTCTGAATGCGCGCTTGTTCATTTGTTCAGCCCAGCGGCGGCTCGGGGAAAGGGGGGGGGCGCGCGCTCCGCGCTCTTCCGCCCCCCCGCCGCCGCCCGAAAGGTTCGATCTGGCGGCCGAGGGGGGGGGGGCGCCGCGCCCCTTCGAGGAACAAGAAATCTTCAGATGGGGGGTCGGGGGGGGGAGGGGGGGGCGCCCTAACCTCTTGGAGCCCCCCGGTGCCGATTCGCTAGGTTTCGGTGGAAGGGGGGGGGGGGGGGCGCGACGTCCTTGGCCCCGTGGGCCCCGGTGACAAAACGCGTCGCTCCCCCCCCCGAGCAACGGAAAACCCTCTCGAGTTTCTCGTCGGGGCGGGGGGCCGGGAGGGGGGCGGGGGGATTCGAGCCATCCAGACACCCCTGGAGGCGGGGTTTTGGATTGCTGAAATTTTGAAGGGCGGGGGGGGGGCGGCGGCGGGGAGGGGGGGGTTTGGTTGCCCGACGAGGTTTTCGGGGGCTGCCGTTCTCAGCCGCAGAACTGCCCCTTCGGGGCCGTTGCTCGTCGTCGAACTCGACGGGGCCCATGTCTGCCGAGACGCCCATCATTTAGTGATCCTTGTCGTTCCTTCTCTACGTCGCATTCGAATTATGCACGCCTCCACCAGTCCTTGGAGATCGCATCCGCCCTTGGAAAGCCGGTCTCCGGCATAAGTCCTACGCGACGTTACTGAATAATACCTTAAACTTAGTTTTCGGACCCTTGCTGCCCGACGCGCCGTTGTTGATGATATTATCGCTGTCGACCTCGTCGGAGATGCAGCTATTTCCCGCGTGACCTTGAACGCGCCCAGGGCTGCGAGCGCGTCAGCATCGCGCACCGGCTCTTCATCTGGCATCAGGAAGCTCAGCGGGCACGAGGGTGCGTCTTGTCCTCCGTGCCAGCGTAGAGAAGCCATGCTGCTCGTAGTCGCCTTTTCGCCGCGCTCATGCGGTGCCTGACCCGCCTGGCAATGCCGCGGCATATGCCGCTGGACCTGCGCGTTTCCCCTCGTATTCTCCCAGGTGAGATGTAGGCCCATAATATGATATGAAAGGACAGCCGTAGCTCCAGCGTTGAATCAATTCGACCGTTTCGTTCGTGATCGCGTTCCAAACTGACCGGACAATCCCGGCAGGGCGCCCCCGGCTGCCTGACCCCTTTCTCGCGGTGGACCCACTGGCCGCGGTCGCGCTCGCAATCTTGGTCGTTGATGCCCCCCGCCGGCTGCCGCCCAGGTCGTCGCCGCAGTTGGCCCCCTGGTTGCTGGGTCCCGAGCCAGCGCGAGTCCCGCTTTTCCGCCCTGTGCTTCTCACTCAAACAGGCGTGGCCAAACAACTCTTTCCCATCTCCTCAAATAAACTCAACGTCCCACCAAGGCTTGAGTCGACCTCCATAGGTAGCCAGCCCCGTCGCCATACCTGAAAGCTGAAGGTCCATCCTCGAAGAAGTCGCCCTCGTCCTCTGGGTTGAACCTTGGGTGTCTCCTTGGCATTCGAATGCCCGGTGGCCTCCTCTAAGAATTGCCCTGGCGCCCCTCAAGAGTTCCAGAAGTTGCTCACAGCGATTATTCGCGAAGTCCCTGTGCACTTCTGCCACCGCCGTCGTTTAGGACGCGAAGACTGCATTCCGTTTTGATGTGGTGCTGCTCCACGCATTAATGTAAACATTCTTTGCGATGCCATTCAGACCGATGCCTGGGCATCGCAGCTCGGGGATGCGTCGCGCTGCCCGATGCTGCAGGCATGCGCGAAGGCGGAGATGCATGCTCGACGCCACTCACACTTGTACTTTGCGTCATTGAATTCATCGCCGCGTTGGTCCGTGATCCACATCGCGGCCCAGGTCCTGGATTCTTGTTGAAGCCGGTGTGCTCTGTCATACTGCGCCGCGATTGCCTGAGTGCGCCTTCCCATAATCTCGGCGTGTCCTGGTGCGGGATCGTACCCCCAGAGTGGCACCGTGGAGCCCTCCGAGAAAGAACCGCATGGGAATCCTTGGAAACCTGACCGGACAAGAACGGGAAGCGTCCTTTTGTCCCCTGGGCTTATGAGATATTCCACGTTTTTAGTACGGCATACCACAGCAGTGCCACGTACCACTGCCGTGCTCCTTTGGGGTCTGCCGTGCTCCTGTGGAGTTTGCCGTGCGAACGTGTGGTCTGGCGTGCTCCTGTGTGGTCTGGCGTGCTCCTGTATGGTCTGCCGCGCTCTTGTGTGGTTTGCCGTGCTCCTGTGTGGTCTGCCGTGCTCCCGTGGGGTCTGCCGTGTCCTGTGTGGTCTGCCGTGCTCCTGTGTGGTCTGCCGTGCTCCTGTGTGGTCTGCCGTGCTCCTTCTTGGTCTGCCGTGCTCATGTGGTGTCTGCCGTGCTCCTGTGCGGTCTTCCGTGCGAACGTGTGGACTGCCGTGCTCATTTGGGGTCTGCCTTGCTCCTTTGTGGTTTGCCGCGCTCCTGTGTGGTCTGCCGTGCTCCTGTGTGGTCAGCCGTGCTCCTGAGGCGTCTACGGTGCTCTTTTGGGGTCTGCCGTACTCATTTGGGGTCTGCCGTGCTCCTGTGGTCGGCCGTGCTCATTTGGGGTCTGCCGCGCGCCTGTGAGATCTGCCGTGCTCCTGTTGGGGAAACGCCAGCGGCGTTCGGGGTACAACAAAAAGGCGCGTTTATGTTGTACCCGCGCGCGGTCTGCCGTGCTCCTGTGGGTTCCGCCGTGCTCCTGTGGCGTCTGCCGTGCTCCTGTGGCGTCTGCCGGGCTCCTGTGTGGTCTGCCGTGCTCCTTTGTGGTCTGCCGTGCTCCTGTGGAGTCTGCCGTGCTCCTGTGTGGTCTGCCGTGCTCTTGTGGTCTGCCGTGCTCATTTGGGATTTGCCGTGCTCATGTGGGGTCTGCCGTACTCCTGTGTGGTCTGCCGTGCTCCGGTGGTCTGCCGTGCTCCTTTGGGGTCTGCCTTGCTACTGTGGGGTCTGCCGTGTTCCTGTGTGGTCTGCCGTGCTCCTGTGTCGTGTCGTGCGGGGCCTATGAAGGCTAAAAGAAGCCCGAGGCCCACGGAGCCCATTGGCCCCAGGGCCTCAAGGGCCAGCCCTGGGGGCCCGAAAGGGGCCCCCGCAGGGGGGCGCGGAGCGCCAGACGCCCGCCAGGGCCAACGGGGGCGCCTAGGCCCCAGGGCCACGAGGGCGGGCAGTGCCGAGAGGCAACAGAAGCAGCGAAGCTGCACAGAAGAGCTCACGTACACATTCAAATACAAGAAATGCGAATGCACGGAGCAAACGGAATTAGCGTCCGCACGCAAGGCAAGCAGCAGAAACGGAAAGCAACTGCTTGCCTCAATCATCGAGGGGGCCCCACTGCATTGCAAATACACCACGTGCACATTCAAATGCAGGAGACATAACCCACTGAACAACCACAGCCCCCCACATCCAATGGGGAACAGACGTGCAAGGCGAACCATCACTCAGAAGGCATTCCGAACACGCAGGGAGATGACGTCTCACCAGGAGCA